TACAACACACAGTGTAAGCGTAATGACAGAGCTGGGTTGCCAATGAATAACTTCAGTAACTTAATTCAGTTGTTTGAGGCACTGTTTTATGTCTTAAATAGAAAAAAAACAAAACAACTGGAGCACTGTTGGGAACCACAACAGAACAAACAAGGCTGGCTTCCGACCCGCCATTCTCTTCCTATGTTGTGTCAAAAAAAACGGGTAAGCTATGAAAGATGACTGTCTTTCATTCGTTCCAGCCTTGCCACAATCGACTATCTCTGTTGTTTTTGTTCCTTTTCCTTTCCAATGAAGCTTCACTAAAAAAAATCTTTAAAAAAGAACTTTTTGTTTCCCAGCTAAGACTGAAATAGGTGTTTTTCCTCCTTCCTGGTGGTACGAAGTCAGGATATGCAGGCACAATTTATGGAGAAGAATTTTTTTTTTTAATGGCAGGGTGGGGTCAATGTCTGTGTCTGGCTCCCTTCTCAGGAGTTCCTGAGGGAGACCCATAGCACCTCGGCCACCCATGCTCTGCTCTGCCCACACAGCACACGCTCCAACCTAAGCATCAAGGTCCAAGACGGACAAATGATGGGTCTGCGGGGTTCGGCTGGAGACTGGGGGGAAACTCGGTGCCCTCTGCCAATGAAACTCAAAGGTCCTACTCTGGATGAAATAGTGGCTGTGAAGCCAAGCACAGCAAATTACACAGACTGGGCTGGCAGGCACCTGACCACAAAGATAGACACACACCCACACCCACACACACATAGATTAAAAGAAAAAAAAAGAAAACTTCCAGTGCCATTTTCTTGAACAGCTCGAAAAAGAACATATACCTTCTGATTGTGTTTACTACTTAAAAGACTATATTATGGTGGAAGAGGAGAACAAAATTCATCCATAAGAAAATTGTCTGCATGTGCGAAACCTCACACACACATACCTACACACAAAAGGCACACTTTCTCTTTGGCATGGTCGCTGCAACCACAGAGTGCAAGTCAGGTTGTAGGATTTGGCATATCCTCACCAGGTTATGAAAGAGAATACAACAGTAATTGCGAAAGTACCTGTGGGGTCTCGTGTGCAGAGCTAGAGTCAACAACCACCCACAGGATGTTGAAGACACGGCGATCTAAAAAAAATATCCTGGAAATCGAGGGAAATATCATAGAAAGAGGGTCAAACTAAGCCTCCACCTAATATTTGAAGGTTTAAGATGGTCTACACTCAAAAATCTACTAAAAATAGACTTGCAAATCGTTCGGTGTGTAAACATCCAGGAGGAGGAAATTCATTTTCTGGAGCCAAAAAGGGGCTCCAGTTGTTCACAGAGAGCATATCTACCATGAGAAAAAAACACATTCCCCCTTAAAGAGGGGAAAAAATTAAATATTTTCCGCCTAATTGCGAATAAGCACCTCCAAACTTGTACATATGCAGAGCGTCGGCTTTGCCATGCTGGAGCGATCAACGTAAACGATGCCTGTGGTGAGCGGTGCACTTAAAGTGCACTTAAATCTAGCGGGAATGCTGGTGTTCTTTCTGGTTCGGCCTCTGCAGCACTTCAGCGTCTGAAGCATCTGTGATAAGGCTCGACTGGCCCATCTGCTGAGATAGTACCGGCAATAACGCTCCAGCTGATCGGCACCAATCTGCACTCCACACAAACACTTCTGATTTGTTTCTGTGCTATGCAGTCAGAATATTAAGAACAACTACACTGGGTGTGTTTGTAGGTACTGGCTGGCTGGACACCATCAAGATAGCATAACTTGTTATGATTGGACAGTCTAGTTGGCATGATTGTAAATGGACTGAACAATAAAGTACTTTTCCATTCATTCTGAGTCACATTCACCCATTCACACTCACAAATGCACATTTGTACACCGATACGCAGAACAGTCTGGTGGCAGTGGAAATCGAACCTACAATCTTCTGCTCACAACACAACGACTCTACCCACAGTCACAGTCGCCCCATTGCAGAAGACAGTTACTGCAAGTTAAATCGGCGAAAAGCTTTTATAAAAGCTACAACCTACAAATAGGAACAAAATTCACTGTTTTTATTTTTTGTTTTGTATAAGCCTTTGAAACGTCGCCATGGTTACAGTTAATTCATTGCAGCTCCAGCCACCGCACTTTTCCTCCAAGTCAAAGTCTTTTCCTCTAGCAACCACATAAAGGGCCGAAGCCTGACTGGAACACATGATGTAGGGCTAAATACTGCCATCAACAACAGTCCCACCGCAGGCACTTAACACATGCACCTGCCCAGCCAAGAGCACGACGACAGGAAGCCATGCTGGTCATGTGCTGCTTCGCTCAGTCACGGAGGTGTAGCTCGGGCTGCTGAATTTTGTTTTCCGCCACGGGCAAGCACACATGTGGCCAGTAAATTATAACGTGCGGTTTGGTTCGATGATTATATCGGATTATTTTTCTGTTGGGGGCGTTGTTAATATCTGCCATGAACTCCTAAACATAACTCATCCTGGGTGGCACTTTAACCACACTGACAAGATGCAGACGACTTAAAGAGACAGAAAAGGAAAAGCTGCGTCATTAACGGGCCTGAACTGTGAGTTTATAAAGTGCTAAGATGAGGGGAGTGAACAGTCATACACGGTGCATCGGAGCTATGCATAGATAAACTGTACTGCATTTGGGTGAATTTCGAAACCAGATTTATTTCAGATATGCTACAATTAATGAGACGGGATGATATGCTTTTCTGCAAGTACAAAAACATGCTTTTTTTGACCTGTACAGGCAGTGTATGGGTCAAACGATGTTTCTGAGACCAAAACAAAATTTTTAGTCCACATGCCAAACATGATGTCTGGGGGGAAAACCTACACTGCACACCATCACTGCATGATGATGCAGTGGCGGCTACATCATCATGCTATACATACAGATAGAAACACAGGAGTTTGGTTTAGTCCAGACCTTTATTTGTGGCATTATTTTAAAAGTGATTTTCCAAGGTGCTCCCGGTGCAAGTTTGCAAAAATGAAAGGGCTTAAAATTCAGCATGTTCATACGTAAAGTTTGAAAAATGTAATTGCACTAAAAATACTGACTTGGGGATAGCAGAATATACACACATGCATCCTTTTGTGTTTGTGTGCTGCATAAAATCCCAATAAAATGTGTTTAAGTTTATGGCTGTAACATAAAACATGGAAAGTTTTCAGTGGGTATGAATACTTTTTCAGCAGAATATTTGTGTTTCATTTCTCCTTTTGTTTATTCTACACAACACTGATTTCACAATACACCTGATAAAAACATAATGAGTTTGCATATTTTACAAATTGAAAAGAAGGTGAAATATTTACTGGCAGTGAACCGTGAGGTTCTTCTCCGTCTTTTAATATACAAACACAAACAAAAAAATGTACGGAGCAGAAATGAAACAAGACGGAACATAATTATGGCTTGGCAGCGTTTTATTATTTATTTATTTTAAATAGAAAACTATAGTTTAATGTGGTACTCTTCTCTTTCCGGGATTTAAAGAGTCACCTGCTAATTGTTGCCCTCTTCGTTAGAAGATGCGGTGATTAGCTCTGCAATCAAATCCCTAAAGTTAATGACAGAAATTATGCAAAATGTTTCACAGCAATCACACAAGCATTGTGAGAAACCCAAGTAAGCGGGACGGTGAAATCAGCTCTAGCTTTAATTAGAATCACAGAACATGGTGAAGATGACTATCACATTTACACCTATCAAGGCTTCTTAAAGAATTGAATTCTGACAAAGTTAGTCAAAACTGGTTGCTTTTCTGCATAAAAATTAATTCCATGAAGATTTCCAGTCAGCTTTTAGAGTTGATAAAGACACTGAGATGGTGACAAAAATGTGACAAATGGTCTCAGGTCTGAGTTTGCAAATAAGTTTGACATCCTCAAGGGTGTCGAACCTATTCTCATTTTAGGTCATAGTATGATAATGGATGTTCGCAAATGGCAGGTTGTAGCAGAATTTATAAGTAAACGCACCCATAAACAAATTGTTACATTTTTCAGAAAAACTGCTTGTGCATTCTATAAATACTTCTAAAAATAAATAAGATCTTTCCACATTAAAGAAAGATCTTATTTTCCACATATATGTAATTTGTCAGAAAACATAAAAAACAGCTTTATTTTGATAGTAATATTAAGGTAAAATAATATTAAGGCACACAACTGCTATTTTGGAGCTTCAATTTATGTGTCCTTCTCTAGTGTGTCATATCAAAAGATTTGGTGGGCTCGATTTGGCCCCCTGGCCTTGAGTTTGACATGTGTGCGCTACATTCTCCCAGGTTTGTGTGGGTTTGTGAAGCCAGATGTTTCTGCAAAGCAACTTGTCCTACAGAATTGTCTCAAAAGTCTAAAATCTGGAGTGAAAATAATTGTGTCCCATTAAATTCAGAGAAATCTAAAGTCATATTGTTGTTTCTGAAAAGCTGCATAATTCAGTGACCAGTCATAAAGTGCAGTGGAATGAATCTCGGGGTCATTCTTGATTATGACATTCATTTTTATTACATACTTTAAACCAGTTAAGTACAAGTAAAGTATGGTTTACCATACCAGTAAACCATACTGATTTATGGTGTCAGGTTTTGGATTGCAGATCAAAACAGGAAATGACACCTCGTGAATAGGTGGCAAAACTATTCATATCCCTTCAAAAAAAATGTACATTAGTAAACAGTGTATTTTATTTAACAAATACACAACACCATATCAAAAATATCAAATTTTAAGCTGTAAACTAACAGCTTTACAGTATTTTGTTTTATGGAATTTAAAACTACCTTTCTAATATCTATATGTTAGGATTAGGATTAGGATTTTCATCTACTTCCTTCTGTAAATTGATATTTTATTGCAATTAGCCATAAACAGAAATGCCACATTCAGCTTTCTTATTTTAAGTTCTGTTTGAAAAGTGCGTGAAGAAAAAAAAGAAGAAAAAGAAATTAGAATACAGCTTAACTCAACTTACTGGGTTTGAGCAAGACAGCCAGGGGCCACGGTGTTCCGGGAGTGAGGAGTTCTTTGTACGCTTGTGAGTTCCAACATGTCCACTTGCACATCCGTCACGTGACCAGGCAAAGGGTCAAGCACGGTAAGAATCTTTTCAACCAGGTTGTCACCGTGATGGCCGACAGCCCCTTTGTGAATAAAGAAAGCGGAGAGTGAGCGTGCACAGAAAGCTCTTTAAATGATGCATTTAAATGCATAATGATGCATTGGTCTGTGTGCCGTCAGTCGCAGCATTATGAACACTGACAGGTGAAGTGACTCATGTATATCAGGTAGCAACTGAGCTAGGGCTGGGCAGTCATTGTTATCGTTGATCATTTATCGTGATAAATTTCATCATCAATAAATATCAGTACATTTGAAAATATTACAAATGCAGTTACTGTTTGCAGTTTAGTGATACACATCACAGTTCATGTGTGAATGTTGTCCTAAAAAAGTGTGATCCCAAGAGGAATGTTTTTTGAGAGCGGTATTTGTGTTTGTGGGGCTGTAAAAGCTGTGACACACATTTACACTCATAGACATATCTTAAAAATAAGTAGTGAATAGTTCATATCATGACTTTCATTGTCATCACAATAAAATATAGCGATAAAAAACTTATGTCCATATTGTCACACCCACTCTTTTAAAAACAAGACAATGGTATAAGGAATAGTGCACTATGGAACCAGGCTTTATTTTGGCAGCTAAACTTATTATCCAGGTCCTTGTAATGATATCGAAGACCAATACTCCCAAATGCTCCCAAACAAGACCTCACCTGTAAGATCCATTGTTCGGTCCATAAAGATGATCGATGCTTTATTAGGAGCAGTCTTTCTTCGGTTTTTCGCTTGATTGTGATTGGCCAGTTCCCCTGCGATGATGCGGCTCATTGGCCCCACGGCAAAACTCTCTTCCCTTATCCCCGCAGCCTCAAACATGGAGTTTAACGCCGAAACCAAGCTTTTAATTTCAATCTGCAGCTCCACCGGAAGCGAATGCCCATCCAGGTCGCTCAAAGTACCAAACTTCTTCTTCTCCCGTCGCTTTGCGTTGATGCTCTCCAGGTCTGCTGGGAGCAGGGGAAACAGGTGAGCAAACGGCGACGCCACGACCAGCTGCTGCGACACGGCGGCGAAGACCACAGGAGAGTGCATGACCTCCGCCGTGTAGTTCATGTTCCCCATCCACTCGCAGAGCTTCTCCTCGAACTGCTCAAACACGGGGAAGCCCTCCATTTCCGCGGACACGTTGTTGGCGAACAGGTGCACGCAGTGGGGGACAGCGGTGAAGACGACGCAGTACTGGAAGTGACTGAGGGTTATGATGTCCTTTATGATGTCCACCGTCCTCCCCTTTAACAAAGTGCTCACCACGAACACGGCTTTAGGCTCGTTCTCACCGCACGCTTCGAAGCTCGAAAACTGCTTCACGTTCCTGGCTCCCGCTTGCAGCAAGGCTGCAGCCCCTCCACTCCAGTGGAGAGCCTCTGCACTCCTGTCGTCCATAAAAACCACGGCTTTCTTCACTTTCGCGAACACCTTCTCCCACATTCGGAGCGGCAGCCGTGTGAAATCCTCTGCGGTTGACATTTTTGCTCATAAACAGCGTCGGTCGGCTGTAAGTAAAAGGAAGAGTTGTCGGAGACAAGTCACTCCAGCAAACCAAAACACACGTCCCTTCGAGGTGACGTGGACATTGGGTCGCAGAGTTTAAACGTCACCCAAACGTTGCCATAGTGATAAAGCAGCGCCCGTAGACCAACCGTTGGAGGTGTCGAGTAAATGAATATTTTTTTTTGAATTTTTTTAAAAGTGTCGTGTCTCCACAAACAACAACACAAACTGAAGAAACGACAAAAATTTACAAACGCCATATTTATTTATTGCATTTATTAAAAAAACAAAAACAAAAAAACAAACGTTAAACGTTTGTTTTATTGGAAAACTAAGCGGTTAAGGTAATTACAGTTCGTTACAATTGCGCGTGACGGCTTTCCTAGGAAACAGCAGTTTACATATACCCTAAATTTACCTTTTTTTGCCGTTTTCTTTATTTACAAGCTTACAGGAAGGAATACAGGGATCATTTTAGCTATTTATCTTCTCCTAAATGTTTTTTTGGGATTCAGAATACGTGGGTCCTGATGAGGACGACGGCTCGTTTCAATGTAGCTAAGTTCAAAATTGCTACATTTTGTTATTTTGTGACGTTATGGTCAATTAATAGAAGATTGGCTTCCAATGACATGTATGCATGCGTTTCTTTCAGGGACATATGACAGCCATGACAAGGAGACAGAAACTGAGCAGAGTCCTCATAGGTATGTTATTTATAACGGCAGCAAACAAGACACTATTTAAAGCAACACTACCACAAGAAAATATTCAGAAGTCAGAGTCTCTTATTTTCAATCTCTGTACATGATAAGGTATGACAGTTATATTGTGATAGCAGCAAAGTGACTGTCAAAGAAAGTACCTTACACAAAGATAAATTCAAATAAAATTCTGCACTGTACGGGCAAAGTTTGAACATAAATATGCAGTTATTAGCATCACAAAAAAAGTGACAATAAAAACCAGAAAGGCAGAGATGTGCAGATACCAGCAGAATTTTTATTTAAAATAAATGAAAACTGTGCAAATACCAACCTGCATATGAACATTTCTTGAGATTGTTGGGAGCTGTAAAAGTCTTACAGTGGAGTGGGATACATTGTCCAGCAGTAATGTTATTTTAGCCCTTTAGTCCTTCTGTCTCCCACCACCTGCATGGGACATACTGGCACACAGCTGGTTTTCCTGGTGAGCTTATCTAAGCGCCTCCTTTCAGCTACAGATAAGCTTCTGCACCAACATAGAAGATGGCTTCCATGCCAGTTTCGTTCAGGATCGAACAGCTGTTGCTCTAGAATTACCCCGTAATTAACTCCATCCATCGTCTCATGAACTTTAAACATCTTTGTCTTTATCTGAACATCAGCCTCCTTCCACCACATGTTGATGTGCCCCTGTGCAAGGCTCCTACAAATTTCTGCGTATAAATGTGCGGTTGGAACTGTGATCAGGTTTAAAGTGCTTTGACTTGTAGGAATTGAAAGCTGCACACACCCTTTAAGAGCTAGCCAATAAATTACATTAAAGTTTCAGGATCTAACCTGTCAACAGATTTTCAGGATACTTCTGGATGTCAATCTATGACTTTTTTTTATTTTTATTTAAAGTTCGAAATGAAAACACTTGGACTTTGTGTGATTTTATTTTCTATTTTGATTCTTAATTTATTTTTTGGCACTCACACCTCAGTTTGTCAACTTTTTTTTTTATAACTCATCACCTTTTTTCTGGTTTATCTCAAGATTTTTTTATTTTTTTTTACAAATGTAGTTATTAATTACTCTCAGGTATAAAAAAATAATTTGACAAAAATTATTATTCATCAACAAGCTTTCAAGTTTAATCCAATAGTATAGGCGTAATGATGTCATCATAATGACGTCTTATTGCTACATAGATACAAAGTATTCAGATAGAATGCGATGTTCATCCTGCATTATTGACCGCGATCACTGCAGTTTCACACAGTACATGTGATGGCAGTGTGCACTGCCTGTAATGTGCCTTGAAGTCAGTTTATTGGAACGTGAATGGATATATCAGGCTCATTAAATCTACTGCCAGGGAAAGAGCGCTTGTTTATGTACTAGAAATATGAATGTAAGCAGTCGCACAAGCGTAGCATTGATTATTCCTGTGGCTGGATTTATCCCTCAGATTAAATGGAGCATGGAGTGCCATTGGAATTGCATTTGAATTTGCTTTAGAAATGATATACTGTGTTTAAAGTGCAAGAGCCCTGTTTGGCGTTGGTTGAAATTAGGCCTTAAACAGCTGAGATTTAGAACGCAAAGTGAAAACTGAAACATTATCAGCAATTTAAAATAGAAATGTAGTGGTTTTGATAGATTTTTTTAAAACATAGATTGTACTAATTGAAGAAAAAGAAATAAATAAGACCTTATTTTATTGCCTCGAGAGGCAAAATATAATCATGTGTTTCTGTTGTTTGAAGGGAGAATCCAAAACCTCTCACTGATGGGCTGAGTCGGTGACTGCTGATGTTTCTAAAAGTGCTATGTGTTTTGTTTTGTTTTGGGGTGTTTTTTGCCTCTGGGACATATGTATGAACCTGCATTATTTGTCAGGAACCCACTTTTATCAAGGTGTTGCTTTTAGATATATTTTCGTAATGTTCTGGAGAGAAGGCGCAGTGCATTAGCCTTCCATTTCAAAGGGCCATTTGAAATGGGGCTGTTAGCACTCAGCCCAGTTCAAAGTGTTTGTCTGAGCTCAGGTTCTTCTCATAATGATGGAGATAACAGCGGCATCAATGTGATTTCTTGGCAGCTCTGGGCAGAAACCGGAGAAGACTGAGTTAATTTCTGAAATAAGGACAGATCCAGTTGGTAAGAAACTTTTTAAAATCACTTAAAAAAGCATGCATGTTTAAGAAAAGAAGCAATCTTTATTCAGTCTTCAAACATACCTGGTGGAGAAATCTAGTTTATTTGTGTTTTATCGTTTTGATTGTTTTGATTATATTTCTAAAAAATATTCATTATGTCAATGAATAAATAAATAAAATACAATTATTCTTCAGCATTTTAACTAAAGAAAAATAGGTTCAGCATTTGTCTTTATTAATGTATTTAAAGAAACAAATGTGACAATGTTTATCAGGCTGTGAAAAGGAGGAAGGTGAGGATGCGGTTCAGAATATCCATGAAGTCAAAGAGCCAAAGCACGATGTGGAGCCTGTTGAGGAAAAGCCATGGAGGAAGTCTGGTAAATTATTAGTTAGTGTACTTAATATATAATCTCATTTTGTATTTTTTTTAACCAGTCATATTAAGACTTCTTAACTGCATTTTTACTTTTTTTATGTTTAGGGGCTGATATCACAGACTACTTTAACTACGGTTTCGATGAAGACAGCTGGAAGGCGTACCGAATGAAGCATGCTAAGCTCCAAGCATTCCAAGCACAACATATCGCTAATCTCATGGTAAGAGTGTGTGTTATCAATATTCAAAAAGAGAACTGTCCTTTGTGGGACAATATTGATAGACACAGAGCAGATATTGATTTCGACTTTGGTGTTTCTGCTTGGGCCCCAGAGGGAGCAAGCTAAATATGAAATGGAGATGATGTGTGCTTCTTCTAATTCAGGCAGACCATCTAGGAAATCCTGCAGGTCAGTGAGATGTTTTTTTTTTTTTTTGCTCTCATTGTGTGCATCCTTGTTAATCCTACTTAGCACAGCAGCATCTCATTCAGTGTTGCAACTGTGAGTATAGATGACAGTGAATTGACAAAGTTATGAATGATCTTACAAGGCTTAGAGGCAGACTCTAAGACTTTCTTAGCAACCTAAATGTTTGTGTAATAAAAAAGAAAACAGGCTTCTGAGCCGGTGAGAAAGAGACTGTAGAAAACCCCCCCAAAACCTTTCTATTATTCAGTCACTTTTTCACAATTACAAAAGCCTCCTTACAAAACAGATTTTTTTTCATTTTTTTGTTTGTTTTGGCATTGTAAAATTCCAGTAACTTTCTGAAGCTGGTCAGGCACTTTTGTACAGAAAAACATTTTCACGTCTTTTGGGATTGTCAAGTTCTCCAGCTTTACCGGCAGGAGTTGGCTGGAATGATTCACTCAGATGCTGCTCCGGAGATTGAATAAGAGTTTTTACTCAACATGCCTTGGGAGGAGCTTTATCTACATGAACAAATATTTGACTAAAATAAAGTCAGCGGCTGGTTTAAAAAAAAAAAAGAAGACAAAGAAGCAATTATAAGAACATGGCAAAATAAAGATCTTTCAACAAAAGAGGAAAGGATTGGAATTGTAAAAGAAATTTATGAAATAGAGAAAATTACTTTTTCAATGAATTATAGAAATATTTATTAAAAATCAGAAGAAATGGAATAAATTCTTTCATACATACACAGGGCAGTTATTGCCTCGGAAACCAAATATAGTAAGGGTTCATAGTGAATTAAGGAAACGTAAAGACGAGATGACATGAGCTTACTCTTTTGTCTTATTTTTATACATTTAACATTCTTCATCCTCATATTCACCATATATTCTGTGCCTGTGCAACGTATTTGTATTAGTTGGTTCTACTTTAGCACATTCTATGTGCAATAATTGGAAAAAAAAGAAGCTAAACCTAACATTTGTTTCCATATATCACCCAATACGAACATATTTTGGCTCTGTTTTGTTTACTTGCCATGGTCATACTAAAATATCTAAAATGCCCTTTAGCTCGATCGTTAAAGAAGATACTCAACACAGGCCTGACTGTCAGCCAGGATGGACTGGCAGGACGCATTATTTAATTAAAGATTCTTGATGATGTTCTCAACCATAGGCAAGGTTACCCCTCGGGGAGTAAATCTGAGCGCTACGCGGGGTCATGACTCTAACCCGCTCCGTTTGACAGAGCTGGACCAGAAGGGATGCAGGAAGTCACACTGCAGCGTGCTGCAGACTCACGCAGCCCAATCCTGCACGTGATGCACTTTTCTTAACACCGTTTAGCAGTTGGATCACATTTTTGAATATGTAATTCATAAAAATATAGGAAAAAAATATTTTCATAGCCTTCTTATTGGAGCAAAGCACTTGCTAAACTGTGCAAGTTTCCTTCAAAGATGAAAAGAGACACCAAGGAGCCGGAAACTGTTCATTAATGAGCTGCCATTGGATATAACTGTTACTCTCGTTTTGTATGTGTTTTATCCTCTCTCCTTCTTCCTTTGATTAAGTTCTAGTGACAGAAAGAGGTTAGTAGTGTCCTATCTGTGTGTGTGTGTGTGTGTGTGTGTGTGTGTGTGTGTGTGTGTGTGTGTGTGTGTGTGTCTTTCTCTGAAAGGGGCTGGTGTTTTAGAGTGGGTGTGTATGCGTGTACATGGGGGGTGCACACAGTTAGTAAGGGACTGTTGTAAGAAGAAGACAAAATGACCCAGATAAGGAGGTTTAATGCATTAATGGACCAGTGGAGGATTGATGCAGGGGCACTGAGAGGAGGATTAGGCTAAACTAATGTGGTGTTTTTAATATATTATAAGTGCACATCAGCCTAACATATGCTCACGATTTAAGCCTGTTTGGAGGGAGAAAAAAACTTCAGTGACCAACTTTTTGGTGTTGTACTGCATAATTGTTACGTAAATGTACGTCATGTTGTACGCCTTTTATCACCCGATCAACAGACGAAGAAAAGCTAAGACCACTAGGCGTGGAGGCAAAGGGAGAAGCAGGAGAAGCAGAGAGAAAGCACGCCCTTGTCGCACCGATGCAGCCAAAGATACTCAGGTAGTGTGTGTGTGTGTGTGTGTGTGTGTGTGTGTGTGTGTGTGTGTGTGTGTGTGTGTGTGTGTGTGTGTGTGTGTTGTGTGTGTGTGTGTGTGTGTGTGTGTGTGTGTATTTGTGTATTGAGGGGAAAAGACACAGCCTCCAAAGCTATTTATAGCCACGGATGGATGACAAATTAAAGAGAAAGATCTGATCCCCCCGACCCTTCCGGAAAAAGGATGCGGATGCAGCACCTCTGTTGTTTTGTGAAGAACATTTAGCTCCACAAGGTTGCAGTACACTTTTATAACTATCGTTGCATCAAGTCAAATCTGCCTTTGTTCACAGAGCACATCTTATGATATGGTCATGAAACTCCAAAAAGCTCAGAGAAAGAAACAATACAACTAGTGCAGATTATTACTCATTAAGTAAAAATAAGTGATGTAAATGCAGAAGGAAGGCCACGTGTAAAACTAAGAAATTCAAATGATCAAAACATAAAAAGTAATCCAAATGCAACACATTAGTTTTGACAAGTTTTGGAAATAGTAGTTTAAATTGAGTCCAGTGGAACGATTCTACGATAGGAGTGACAACCAAAGCGATTTTAACTCAAGAAAACACAGCTACTCCATATTAGCACAAATTTGTCCCATCTCCATTCAGATGAGCTGATCAATGGAGCCTCCATCAATGGAGCTCTATGATAGCGCATGAGGAGTTTATGTATGAACCATATCAAATGAAGCACTATAGTGAAAGCTGTAATGCTCCAAATCTATTGGGCTTCCAGACAAAACAAGTTATTAAAAGATGAAACACGTGAGATAAACAACACAGTGAGGTTTTGGACAGTACCGAGGATAATTCTCCAATATAAAAATAATATCTACATGAAGGACTCTTTATTGACTCAATAATGGTTGTCTTAATTTTCCTTCAAAACAAGAAAGGTTATTCTATTTAGTGACAAACAGTAAGCAAAAAGGTCAGTGTCTTTTTATACATTGTGAGTATTGATCAGGTTTTATTTGTGCATAAGCATTCCAATCTGTTGCTGAAACAACATGAAAAATTCAAACATTTTCTAATTAAACAAAAAATATCTGAAAAAGTTTTAATTGCTCTTCTTTAAGAAAAGGTTGAAAACTGCTTTTGAATATTGAAATCATTTAGGGCTCTGACTTTAATTTGTAAAATTGCGAGGGAGATTAAGCGGCAAGGTTTCTTAATTCCATTTTTATTTTTATTTGCGTGATCCTTGTTTTCTTTTCAAAGCTCTATATTCAAGAGTGTGCATGTTTTGTTTTGTTTTTTTACTTGTAACTGAGCTGTTTGTTGGATTACAGTCAGTAATGAGGATTTCCCACAAGAAGGACACCGTCACCAATTACGACATGCCACGTTCGGTCAACGTCCGCACTGTGTTCTCATTTGTGCCTCCACCCTGTAAGTCACCATGCTGAAAAGCCTTTATGTTTGTACCTACAAATGCATGAAAGTACTCCTTCACACTATGATCAGATGCTTACTTGTTTGTTTCCTGGGATTAATTTGCCGACACACACAAATGAAGTCACTTAAAAAAGCAGATGGATCAAATTTAGTTTGAACACAGAGGTTGTTTAGGTGAGCGGGGCCCGAGGGGAACCTCCTGCTGTCCACATAACTCATCATCCAGCTGCACAAATGACTAATGGTGCTCTGAGAGTGTTTTTGTGAAGCTGCAACACATGTCCAAATATGCAACCCTGTGGAGTAAAAGCACAGAGGTGAACACTGATAAGTATGAGGCATTGTGTGGGCTGCAGTGCAGGTTTATAGTCGGCCAGGTGTCTGTAGTTCTGTTCAGGAGGTGGTCTGCGAGGGCTGTCAGTCACTGGACTTCCGTTTGGGTCTTGGAGTGAATAAGATTAAAAAAAATAATAAAAATAAAAAAAAATATATATATATAAAAATCCAGAAGGACTTCCTGGCAAAAAGCGTACAGCTGCGGATATAAATTTTTTTTCCCCCTTCAAAGGCTCCAAAATAGAAACACTGCAGCTTAGACCCCTCTGTTACCCCTCATCCTGTGAGCCCCATATCGTGCAGCAAAGCCATGCCAGGGCTGGTAATGCAACCAAAATATCAAGCATCCTGCTGACTGCAGCTTTGAACAGAAAACACTATAGCTTTGAAGTGTATATTGGAAGTCTTTTTTTTGTGTGTGTGTGTTTCTCTGCGTAGGCTACTCGTGTTCTTTAAGTCGCTGGCCCAGCCTCCTCGCAAATGTCTAACGTGATAAAAATAGTCTGTGCAAAAAAAAATAGAAAAAATAAATAATGAAAGAAAAAAAGAGCAAAGTGCTTGGTGTGCATATTGTAACACGAGAAATGTGCTGAGCAGACTGGCTGTGGGGAACAGAGCAGAGGAAAAGACTGAGCCATTTTGGGGGGCTTTTTTCTGTTTTTGTTTTTCATTGAGGTCACATCAGGTGCATTACATAGATGCAGATTGTGCTATCGAAATGTGTTGCTACAGAGTTACACCTGAAGCTGTACCTGTGTCACTCAAATGTGGAGCACAGGACTCTTCAGCTGGTTAGTAGGTCACTACAGTCAGGAAAGTTGCAGAGCTTAACCACAGCTAAGCTTGTGTTTTTTTATGCATAGGCTGCAACATGAGCAAATGTCCAATGACAAGACCCACTTTAGTGCTGATCTGTCATCTGTCTACCTTTGGTCCAAGTATTAAAGTGAGCAGAAGAGTATTGCCAAATTAATTGAAATAATTTGAAATTCTTAATGAGTAGTACGCAACGTAATAAAACAACTTCCAACACTGGGGTTGGGCGACACAGACTTAAATTTTTATCATAATATTTTGTGGTACTATTGCGATGAGTAAAAGTGAAAATAAAAACTATTTATCACTCCTTTTCTAAATACTGATCTAAAAAAATAATTTGCATCATTAACCTGAAAGTAGTAACTGCATTTAATCATATTTCCAAATGTATTGATATCTATTGATGCTTTCATTGGACAAAGAGTGGAAAATATTGCAAAAACAAAAAAAAAAAAAACAAAAAACAATCCTAACAGTACAAACTGCTTTGGTGGCTTTTAAATATCAACAATCAAAATTCATCATGGCAGCGATGAATCAAATTGTTGCCATGATAAGAACTGTGTCGCAAAAAATGATTGACAATGCAATAAATGCCTAGCCCCACTTCAAACAGGACCAAACAAAGTATCAGCAACCATCTGCTGTGACTAGCCGCAGGTTAGAGAAGAGACACACAGTACTGTTCCAAGAACACGCCTCATACTAAAGGAAAAAGTACAGAGATTTAATGGCCGCAATACCTCGGAGAGAAGCGTCACTTAATAGGTAAACACTGAGCCGGAAACTGTCTGCTGGATGAAATGGAGAATGCATATTAATATAAATGTTCTTCAAGCAATAACTTGGTGAGCTTTGTAAAGGAAAACAGTGAGATTGAACGGGAGTATCACTTAAAAACAGAAGTAATCTCTTAATTAAGAAATTAACAGATGGAAAAAAAAATTATGTTCCACCATGCCAGTGTTTACTTTGACAAAGGAAAAACAGCAGCAGATCTGAGTAACCGAATGCTCTAGACTGCCCTTTTCATCTCTTTAGTGCAAAGCTGGTGATACGGAGGGATGGTATCATAAAATAGTCTATTAAAACTGTCTACTTTGTTCATTTGTAGTGTTTTATGTCCAAAGTGTGTTGCTGGAAAAGTTTGAAAAGTGTACGAATCTTCTACACACTCATCTTTGCACTGGGAATTTGAGTGGTCACATTACATTTTATTCCTTAGTTCTTAGGAACTGCTGTCGGAAATGCAGGAATTGAGATTTTTTTAGACCTTAGAAATTCTTCGTCCAGCTATCAAAAACTTACAGCTGTAAAGGGAAGACAAGATACCCTTTCAAGAGTTTAAGAGTGTGTGGCACCATAATCTTTGCGTATTGTTCTGCTCTGGAAAGCAGCCAGTGTTGGTCTACACAGTGAAATATCAGCGCCATCTAAGAGTCTTCAGCCTGCACCTCTGTGAAACATTAACATGAGACAGAGAGCCACGCAAACACAGTCTGCAGCCATTAGCCCATACCCATTAGCTCTCTCATATGCTGCCAAGCATAAAAGTACAGTCCTTATCAAACGCTCACTGCAGGTAGAAGCAGTTACTCACTCACGCTAACTTTGCTTGCATTTGTGTGAACAGGCTGGTGCTCAATGTAAATGCACGTTAACGTCTGTGTGCAATTATGAGAGGCACGTACTGCTTGTTGTTGTTTTTTTCTCAGAACTTTTGAATCATTCTTATATGTGGCGGTCAGTATTCATGAGGTGTTTCACATGGTGACATCATCTTCTGCTGAGCTGGCTCAGGTGCATGTTCTAGATGAATCACACTGTCTTTTGATGAGCTCTCTTTAAAGGAATCGCCCGAAGGCTTTCAGCGCTACACTTTTAACTTTGTTGTCTACTACTTAGAAGTTTGTGAGCATTTTTAAAAAAGCTATGTTCTTCCAGCGTGTTTCCATATGTCTGAGATCTCGTACGCTTGCTCTCTTCGACTGTGCGACTCGTCTGTTTTAATAGAAAGTGTTTTCTACTTTTCCTCTCACATGAAGGGTTAACTTGGTCCTCGGGGCAGTGTGCAGGATTTGTGTAATGGCTCATATAATTATTCCTTCTGTTTCAAGTACTTCATTGTGTTTTATCTCAAAAAGCTGCACCAAGCTATTCTCACGTTAGGAGACATTATTGGGGGTGGGTGGGCGGGAAAAAGAAAGGATAATAGCAAGATGTTAATATGCCTGGGCTTTTTCTTGATTATCGTGTACACAATGCTGTTGTTCACTGCACGTTGTGTTTGTAATTTGGAGCTGATTGTTTTGCTAGCTCTCGTAAAATGTGAGCTGTATCACAAGTTGGACAATTAACTGTGAAGTGAGCGTTCTGTGCAGTTGATGATTAGGACCTGCCACATTTGTTGATGTTAAATTTGGAGGCAACTCTAATCTCCCTCCCTCTGGAGATTGTATGCACTGCATTACTTTTGGTCTGGTGTGACTTGTGCAATTTAATAATACTTCATTAATCCCAGAGGGAAACCGTATGTGGTGGGAACTCATGTGATATAACTGTATTCAAAGGGTTGTTGTAGACGCCATTGACTGTGGGCAGGATTATGTCCTGCAGCAGTCTGTGGTATGGTGGTTATGAGTAAGCTGTTGTTGCATCACAGTCTGATAAAGAGGATGGTAATTTTTAAGTCATATTTCAATTAATTAAGGACCAAAACTCAAAAGGGAAAAAACAACAACTTTGATATACTTCATGTATCCAAAAAGACACATTTTTGTTGCCTTTTGTTTGCTAAATCTAATGTTAACACTTTTAGAAACGCTTAAATACACCATATAATGTGAATATAATTTATAGACTGACATTTAATGAATATTTGCTGTTTTAAACAGACAAACAAAATAGCGAATCCCTGTTTTCTCCCTTTTGTTTTTTTTTTTAAACTATGTTGGTTAAGGTTGCAAAATTCCAGGAACTCTCAAAGTTCCGGAAAAACCAGATGCCAAAGTTTGAAAAAAGCTCAAATAATTTTGAGGCAGTTCGTCTAAAAGTTGCATTATTTTATCATTTGCTTCTATAGATACGTCAAACTAAAATACTTAGTTTTTTAAGTCTGTGAACTCGCATGAGCCTGACTTGATGCACATTATTTACGTATTTTTGTTTTCCTTTCAGCTTCACTTTTCCAGTTTTACCAATCTGAGTCCCCCACTAACACACTGAGCAGGTGAGTTTATTATTTCTGACGTGTTTGTTTTCTCAGAACATACACTGTTGGAGCATCAGTATATAGACTGTAGATGAAACAGGAACAGTACCAGAAAATGATTTCACTGATCGGGAGATTTGACCTAGATGAAAGAAGCAATTATAATAAGAGCAATTAAATAAATAAATACTTTCCTTTGACTTCTCAAACAGTCAAAGTGTCTTTTTCAGAACTAGAGAAGAAGAAATTAGTGCTCTCTCACATTCTAGCTTGATGGTATTTTTCAGTGCATGCTGTTGCTCATCTTAAACTAACACAAATCGCCAAATAAGGTAGAAATCTGATTAAAAGCTTGTTTATGCCAAAAGCCTCCTGTTTATCAGTATCCAGGACATCGCTCACTGTGCTCGTCTGATCTATGTCATAAACTGTCTGCAGACTCCCACACTTTGACTCTTAATTTATGCAACTAAGATCACATGGGAGCCACGTTGTACCCCAAACTCCCTCATTTTTTTATTTAATTTTTTTCCGATACGGACACAAATCCAGTCCCTCTCCAGTTTTGTTTGATGGTAGGTTTGTTTCTTTTGGATGTCGTCGTGCCCAGCTTGTCTCAATCTCTCCATGTTTGTCTGTCTCTAAAGCTTCCTGTCTCTTTCTTTCCTAAATCACTTTTCTTTTCCTATCTCCTAATTTGCCGTATCTGACGTGTTCCTGAATTCACTCTGGACTTGGTCCTGAAAATGTTTTTCTTCTCACATCTGAGTCCAGTTGCCAAATCCTCACATCCTCCAGGGACTTACTGTTCCTATGAACTCTGCCAGCCATCTCCTCTGTGCCTTCATGAATCACTTCCTTTGTTACCTCCCATCCCACTCTTATTATTATTTTTTTTATTTTTAGACTCATATGTACATTCTTTACACCAATAGATGATGTAAATTTATTGTCCAGAATAGGACAATAAATGTACAGTAAAGCAGAATAGTTTCTGCCTTACTTTAGCTGAGGGATATGAGGAACTTCAGGCATTTCTGCCATGAGCAGAAATACCTGAAAAGTGTTGATCTGCCTCACAAATGTTTTTCTAATACATTTGCATTCAGACCATGTTTCAGAAAAGTTTATGTTACTGCTACTTTATACTGTTATGCTATCTGCATGATCAGTTTTGTCTTTCATATTTCAAAAGAGGTAGTGTTTTATTTAAATTTCTGATCTGTTCCGAATTTTTCTCCTGCTCATTTTGCATTGTGTGCTCAAGGATCTATCATAGATTAGTATTCTAATTTACTTGCAAGTTCCCCAAAGTAATCACTTTGAAACAAACACAGAACAGTTTAGAATAGTTAATTCAATGCTAAGGTACTTAAGATTAAAAAAATAGTTACCTAAAACATTCAGTCTGGATTTTATTATGCAATAATTAGTTTATTTTACATTTTGGAAAGTTACAGACAAAAACTTAATTGAGATTCAGAAAGATAAAGCAAAGTCTTCCTTTATACTGGGTGGATGAGAAACAATACATAGTTTTCAAAACTCCTTTGCAAATGTAGTCCAGAAGGTGTGGTATTCAGAGCAGAAAAGAAGAAAACTCCTTCCATTTTTAGCACAAAAAATGGAAGCAGTTTTCTAAGGATGTCATAGTTTTTATTTTTCTCCCCCAGGCCAAAATGAGCTACGATGCACATCTTTGAAGTGTAGGTCGCGAATTAGGATATTTTAGAATAAAACTGAACCGCTAGTTGTTTTATACATCTAATAAGGACAATAACCATAAAAACAAGACCCCAAACCTGTGCGGTTTTTGAACCTTAGCCTTCTATCGCTGGACTGCAGGTAGACATAGAGGATGAATGGAAAAGCGGATTGTCCATGAAATAGCCTTCTGTTCAACCATGCGGTCAGAGTAGTGTGATGTCAGCGGTGGGAGCGTAGAATGAAAGTCTCATAAGACTTCAACGTCACTGTTTCTATTCCCACTGACAATGTTTTATTTTTTAGTGAAAAATTTCTTTTTTGATATCAATGCAAGTTGTCACCGTTTTAGCTGTTACATATTAGTAAAAACTGCTGCTTTGGTCTCAAGTTTCCTGATAAGTGAAGTTTATGGTTTTAATTCAGCATAATGTGAAAAAGTTGTAGGAGTATAGATAGTTTTTGCAAGAACTTGCAGTGATATATGTTCAATAGGGCATTCAATATCAGAATGTTTTTACTTTACTGCAACATTAAGTCCAGATTTCATTTTATCCTTCCATCAGGTTTTTGCTGTGAACCACATGCCCCGTCTACATCCATCTTTGCTTCATTCACCATATTCCATTCATGAGCAACCCTTTATCTGCTAATGCCTGAAATAATAAAAATACATTTTAGGTATCTTGGACTGTTAGATTTTTTTTTTTTTTTCTTTTGCACACCGCGCTTTGGACTCATACTGCTGGCTGAGCTTCATACAAATTCAACTTCATCCTCAGCGCTCTCGGAAGTTTTCCGGTGGAAGCGCTGAGCGTCCAAGCCATGTGGAGGGCAGAAGATCCAGCAGTATCCGTAATATGCCCTCCATCCATCCTCCACGGGTTGGCTGGCGCACACTGAGCCTTGACAACGAGCCAGTCACTTCAAACACTTGGAAAACACAGCAGCACATTTGGAGAAGTGCTTTGATCATAATGCAGAGTTGTGCTCTATTTTCTTTTCAGCCGATTCGCTGGCGAATTTGTTTGCTCACTCTGTTTGTCTTTATCATAGCAATGGTCTGGAGTGCAGCATAAAGCAAATGGCACAAGGAGTACTGTGTGTCAACAACTAGTGGCAGATGTTGAACCGTTTGCAGTGCAGTTATGGTGAGGGGAATATCTGGTTAAAGTTATTCTTTTAAAACTGCCTTTCATTTTCTGTTTCAGCGACAATGTTGGGAACATCCAGGAGCCCTCGACTTCCCTGTATCCATGTTTTCCCGGTAAGCGACGCATGTACCCTGGAGATACGACTACCATGTGGGGAATCGTTGCGTAAAGTTAGGCCTAAAATTATTAATATTTGGCAGACTGAAAATGGTTCTTTTTCAATTGAGACGTTTCGTTCTAATAGAAAATGTGAGAGGCGTATGAAAAAAGAAAACCATTTTTCTGTTTTATTTTCATCTCCAGCATTTCCAGGTTCTTTAGATTCATAAACATGGATACAATTCTTTGTTTCAACAGGATAAAACCACATAATACTGGTTTTGGAACAGAAAAAGTACCGTAAGTTGATTTCAGGCTTTTGGAAAGCCCTGACATCAGTTGTGTTGAAAATTTGTGGGCTGTGCTCTGAAACAAAAGCCTGTGAAATAAAATAAAAAATAAACAAATAAAATAAACAAAACCCTGCCAATTCTGTTCAGAAGAGTGCTCTAACATTGAGTCAGAATTATGCCTGAAACTGGCTACAAAAATGCAAATGGTCACCTTCCTAAAACAATACCTTTTTTTTGTTTGTTTTTTGCCAAAGGTGTGCTTTTTTCTTTTTTTTTTTTTGCATAAAACATCTTTTTCAAAGAAAGATGTCGTGATTTCAATATTTTTGTCAGAGTGGATGTTTTAATTTGACTTTGTGTGGATTAGAGAAAACTGACAATAATACTTTTTTAATTATTATTATTTTGATGTTAATCATCCCACCCTCAAAAAGAGCATTTCCATTACATCGCTAAAAGCTTAACATAAATATGACAGTCATGCCAACAGTTTTTATAATCTTCTGCTTATTAATATGCTTCCATGCATTCTTCGGTTTTATCTGTCTCAGGTAGAAACATTTGCTTATGCTTATGAAAATGTCTGATTTAGAGTTCAGGATCTAAAGGCAAATTTGGCACAGCTGAAGGTTTCATTGATTCATGCCCTACATATTCTCTCAAAACTTTTTTTTTCCTCTTTTGTAAAACTTTTTGTTTGAAGACGCCTCCATAGCAAAAGAAAGGGAAATAACAACTAGAGGGACTTACAAAAATACATCATTTACATCTTTAAGTAGAACTGATGCAGCTGCGTGCTTCTGCTGTTTATCGTCCCTCCCTGGTATTCTGTCTGTTTTTTTTTTTGGTTTTTTTTATCCCTCCTGTTTCATCTTTAATCCCAGGGAACATGTCCTCAGACTTTGCAGTGGTTGATAGTGCCAAAGCCTGGGAGTGCTACATAAAGCAGCAGCGTAGCAGAGACAGAGACAGAGACAGAGACAGAGAGTACTGCCATGACAAAAACAGACGGCGATGCAGTGACAGAGACAAACAGAGGTCTTCCTTGTCACGCCACAGGTGGGTCTCGAGGAATTGAACCAGTTCTCTGTATGTTTGATTTGGAGAGATTATGTCTAAATTCCCTTTCTTTTATAATGTGCGGTAATAGTACAGGGTGCCTTCTGCTCTTCCTATTCTTTCCGTTTTTCATTCATGGATGCTTCGAACAAAAGATGAATGCGAATCTGCTGAGCAGCTGTGGGATCTGGATAAGGCAACATCCATCAGGAATCTATTTCTGATGGACCAGTTATGCAATTCACCTGGCATAAATCTATTGCCTGTCTGCCTCTTTCTCTTTTGCACATAAAGTATGCAGATGTACTCCGGTCAGTCGTAACATAATGTCCAGATAAGATGATTAACCCGACCTGCATCTGTGTGTTGTCCATTCTGACTATTCTGAGAGCTGATTTATTAAAAAACAAAAAACAAAACAAAACACACACACACACACACACACACACACACACACACACACACACACACACACACATTGCCTGTCAGTGTTATGACCGATCTGTGCATGTTTACAGGAAGATAACATTTCTCCAGGGGAGATTTCAATATTTACAGAGAACTAAACAAGAAAAGGAACAACTATTGCACTTAGGATTTCATTTATGTTGGCATCAGAAAAGTTTTAATTTTTCGGCTTGACTGCAGAGCATCAGATTAAAGGTCTTTCTGTGTTGCTAAGTTCAAAGCGTGAAGCCCAATCAAGTGCAGAAATAATTCATATAAACCAAGCCAAATTGTTTCCATGCAGCATAACTAAGGGGATTTTCATTCCAGCTATTCAATTGATTACTGAAATATAAACCATGGGAGAGTCGTGGAAAAATATACAACTATTGTGGGGGGAGAAAAGAAAAAATATTGCAAAAGAGCTGCAAGTCCTGATGACTATTACAAGGCGAGGGGAAGTGAGTGCCAACATATGTAGAACATTGGCTGCGAAATGAGGTAATAAACAGACGTAAAAACACATTTTAGTCAAGATACAAATGCAAGTATGCTCTGTTGGATGGAGTTCGGTCTCTTCCTCTCTGAAGGTCCGAGATGAGAGGAGTTTGTCTAATTTCACATTTTCCTTCTCATTCATCGCTGGCACTCTGTGTCTAGTAAGGCGACAGAATAATATGAGACAGGTAATCTCTGATAGAATCAAACTCCTCCATCTCCTCCTGCAGCTAATATTGCCATCTGAAAAATTGCACCACTTCCGGTCAAGAACAACCAATCAGGGCCAGGAGGAGGGTCTTAGCAGGAACACAAGCATGATTGTCAGCTCTGATACCCTCCTCTTGTCTTTCTGTCGTTATCACTGGGAGAAAGCAGAGGAGCTACTTGTTTTCACAGATTATCTGTCTCACATCATACTATCATGATATAGTGACAGTTTTAACAAATATGTGGAAAAAAATATCTCTCATAATAATTACATACCGTGTGTTTTTGAATGTGGGAAATTTCTGAAGTGGAAAGAAAATGACACATGGGTTTATTTTTCCTTTAAGTAAAATTATAAAAACTGCGGATTTCAGGTTTCAGCCAAACATTCGAACATCTTATTGCGCTTTGAGAACCCTCTTACAACATTGAAAAGCTGCTGGTATAAACTGGGTGGCTGACTGACGTTACTCAGAGAAGCAGCAAAGAGTCAGTGTAGCTTCAGAGCAGCTTTTGTCAGGTGAACCTTCTTTACTTCATGCAAAATGCTATGCGAGTTGGAAAACTAAACACTAAACATCATCACCAGCGCACCATGGTAAGATCATGCAGAATGGAATAGATTGAGCTGCATCAGACTTTAGGCTAGAGCTGAGGGACAAAGACACAACGAAAAGGTTTGAAGTACATTTGTATGTTGGAACGGCCAACTCAAAATCCAGAAACGTTATTTTCTGGCATTGCAAAGCGGCTAGAGACCATGCCCAAGTGTTTACACTTAAGTGCTTGTCTGTCTTAGTCAATCGCATAAAATGTTTTGTGGTTGCAAACCTTAAAAAGCTTGAGCAAGTTGCTGTGAGAATTTTTATTAGCTTGCCACACTTGCTTTGTCAGATGTCATCCAAATTAGTGCTAAATAGTTCAATTGGACATACCATGTCTATGAATTGTTCTCATACTGTTCCACCTTCTTTTCCCCCACCCCTAACTGACAGAAAGGGAGTTTCCTATTTAAATCGCTGAGTCCGTATTTATACCTAAAGCCTCGGCCTTGTGGGTCAGGTGAAAAGCAGGACACTGGGACAGCTGTGAAGCTGTTGGGCTAACCGCATAAGACAGGAGGAACAGGAGTCGCATGTGCTTGACAGACACTATGGAAACACTCAGGAGATTTCACCACTGCTGCTTCGTATTCATTCTGATGTAAATGCCACAAGGGACTCATCCCTTCAGCCTGGTTGAGCGTGCCGCTCACACAATCTGCCCTCGGCTGACAAGTTTGCCCTACATTCCCTTTCGCGTGGTCTTGACTCCTGCATCACGCATGTGCTCATGGCACAAGTTGCATATTTTCAGCCGCTTTGATTTATGATTGCGTTTCGGGCTATTTTTAGCCAAGAACTGGAAATAAGTTGTGTGAGAAATGAAGAGAAGCAGATGGAGCAAACCGTCTCTTTGTTGGTAGCCACTCTTATTGTTCACTGAAGGGATGAGGGGAGATGCCGCATGGCAGATTTACGCTCGCTGGCCTGCATTTCTTGCGCTGAGTCACATCAGTTACTGCCCAGTAGGTGTTGCCCTGGTTGATTTTAGGGTTCAGGCTGTGTTTGGTTTTTGGCTGCGATTACGAAAGCCGGCCCTTGATTTATCGCCATCAATAATGCATTACGCGAGGCTAAAATTCACTGTGATATATTACACATCTTTGACATAGCTTACCTTTTTTTTTTTTTTTCCATGGGCATCAGCTGAGCACCCGATTGGCCGTTTGGTCAATACTTGCGATGCGGTTGTAAATCTGGGCCTTGGATTGTGAATGGAGTTCATTCTCGCTGGCGCCACTTCTGTCTGTCTTATCAACGCTTTCCTGCACACATGTGGCCACATGTGAGGGAGACAACAGTGACATCCAATACCCATTTTTCATCTGGGTTCGCTCATTTATGTGGCATTGGTTCACTCAAAATGGTGCAAATCAAACTGAAAGACTCTTCAACTAGCTTAAAATGACAACAAAAAAAATGCATGTGTAATTAATTTGCTGATGTAAGTCCTGCTTGATGCGAACATCATTGGAGACATTATTGGAATATGTTGTAAAGTACAATGTAACACAGCTCATCAACAACAATATGACAGCAGTGGTAACCCTAAGTAACAAATGCTAATATCAGTTAGCAAGATGTCAGATTTAGTTAATATACCTACAATTTTTTCATTAATAAATTTATATGTATTTATTTATAAATTACTCTATATATTTATCTACTTAGTTAATATACCTACAAAAAATCTAACAAAAAAATTTGATTTATTGAATTAATATAACTAAAAAAAAAACTAGACAAAAAAAAATGTCTTTCAGGAAAAAATAAATAAAATAATGTCCTTGCCTTTTTGCGAAAATGATGTTTAATGGAAACTCTAACTTGATTTACTTTTGAGATTTTTATTTCAGATTCAGGAGACCTGACATGTTCCAGCATAGGACGAGAAAAGCAACTTTCAAGATTTCCATCAGCTGCTTTTGTGCCATATGCTACGTTCATCCGGGCTTCAGGGCCCGTCTTGGGCTCAGCGCATTCCTACACCGACATCTGTTTTCATTTTTGCCTCTTTTCAAATTGTTTCAGGCCTTAATGTGACACACTGCTCCCTTCAACACAAAGTCAGGCAAGTTGTGCCCTTTTGTCCGGGAGCAGTGGCCCAGCTGAGTTATGAATCTATGATGCATGCTTGACCTTGCATGCAGCTCTACCAAAATTGTTGATGTAGCGGTTAGGACTAAGGTAACTTTAGTCTAACATTTAGTTGAATGTTGGACTGACAACCTGTGTCTCTCAACCAGTGTAATGTGGAGTTTGCTGCATGAGGTCCCACTTTTTTCAAGGTCTTTACAAATCTGTTTTTTTTTTTTTTTTTCCTTTTTAAACTTCTTGCACTTTTTAAGCACGACCGACAGCCAAATAAAGTGCGTATTTGTGAAGTGGAAGAAAACAGACACGGTTTTATGCATTTTTACGAATAAAAATGTAGAAATGTGCTTTTCATCCACATAACCCCCCCCCGAGTGAATCCTTTTAGAACCGCCTTTTGCTGCAATTACGGCTGCAAGTCTTTCGGAGTAGTTCCTGTCGGCTTCGACTGCGACTGACATTTCATTAATCACTGTGCCACGAAAAACGCATTTGATCCCCGCGCAGAATTCTCCTTTTTGGTTGCTTTTTTCACATGCACTTGCTTTTTTGTGTGTGCCCTACCGTGGCAGTGACCTGTTATGTAACTTTGTCAGCTTCAAGTGTTTACTTCTATTCCCCCAGTTGAGAGCTCACAGCTGTGTTCACCAACAAATGAAGGTCTGGCTCTCTAGACAAATGGCATGACAACACTCTCATTTGTGGAGCCGTCATGACATTTGAGTTTATTTATTTATCTCTGTTTTTTTGTAGCCTTCACCCAGACAATAGTAAACAGCATTAGTTGCCTCTGTTTACTCGTCCGGCTGAATGGAAAGTTATTTGCGTGAACACAAAAGCTGAATGTCACATGAAAGTTCTTCATCTTTCCTTTTTGTTAGACTGATATACATGATTAAATATAATTTGCTCTTAGTCCAACACAGTTGCAAAGTGGCCTTTTACTTTTTCCTTATTGTTTTCCTTATCTGAAAAAGTCTTAGGTTTCAAGTAAATTCAGTGTTTTGCTTGTTTTTTACCATTTTTATCTGTGCTCTGGAGAGTAACGTAAACATGTACGATGTAGTCGTTGACGTGATTCGATCACAAAATTAATTTATGTTACAAGTGAAATAAAGTGCCAGTGAAACTAGCACTTTTTAATCTATATTAAGGACTTAAAACATGCTCATGTATTTCCTGAAACGCTACTTGTAACTTAATTTTATCTTATGTCATGTTTACTCATTTATTTGCACTAGAAACTTGATCAAAAATACTTTGGTTATAGTGGTAATTTACTTTTTGCCAGCAAAAACGTATTTGTTTTCCTTTCAGTAAATGAGATAATTTGAAAACCACAATTTGTAGTTACCTGTTAGCCGTATGTTTTCTACAGTAATTCTGGTGTCTTATTTGTTTCAGTGAGAAGAAGCTGGCGGAGCGCAGGGACTCTGTAGATTATGAGTACAAACGTAGCAGAATTGAAGGAGTCGCCGGCAAAAAGAAGCAGAAGGAAGAAGAGGACGCCTCGCGAAAAACATCGCAAAGGTCGAAAAGTCACACATTTCCAAAAAGTAATGGCAAAAAAAGAATGTGATTTTATCTTTTTTTTAATGTCCATTTTTAAATTATTCTTTCGTTTTGCTATCGGCAGAAGTAGCAACGCCAGCAGGAAGGATGACAGGGAGGCCAGGAAGACGAGACACAATCACGCAAAGGGCAAAGACGCTGAGAAGGCTCGGAGAGTGACTGAGAAAAGGAAATAAAATGTCAACAGGCCTCAGAACAACCAAACCTGAAAAGCTTTGTCCCTTTACATCTCACGTTCAGTTGTACGCAAAGATGAATTTGTTCTCATTATATTCTCTAAGTTTTATGGTATTGTGTTGTTTTTCTGGTTTGTATATGAGCCTTTCTGGTGAAACAACAACAACAAAAAAGTAAATGTTAATTTTTTATTATTTTTCTTTAAATGAGTTTATTGAGCATTTAACCAAACGTACCATCGTCAGATATACTACGCAGGCCGAAGCGTGACAGACAGAACCACAGCAGACAAACCTCAGGCCCTCCACTGATACACGGAAACCAAGTCAGTTTTTTTTTTTCTTCTTGAAAGTAAGAAAATTTGTAAGGCCTCCACAAAATCTCCTATTTAAATGTTATTTGTTAACAAGTTACGAAGACATAGATTCCTTTTTTTTCATACATTTTCTTTGCCAGTGGTTTTAATAACTCAGCCATAGCTTCTGAGACAACAGAAAAAAAAATGAAAAAAACAAACAAAACTCACAGACGACTACTTGGCAACGTGTCGAAGATGACAACCACTGTCGATACAAACAGAATAAAGCCTACGTTTAAAGGCCATACGACAAACAAAAGAAACATATCGCAAGTACTTGGTTCGGTACGTTTGTTTTTGATTTTTCTTTCTTTTTTTTTTTAGACACCCAACATTTTACGTTAAGAAATGTGAGTCCAGCTTGACGTATTATCCTAATATACATCTATTGAAATTGGCAACGAGTCGTGTCTCCTTTCTGTCCTCCCACCCGACTCACTGGACGCTGTTCGGTGTCCTCTAAGCAAGACAAGCGTCCGGCCCGGATCTGCTCCGGTTCAGGATTTCCGTGGGCGGGAGAGAGGGCGAGTCAACCTTCTGGTCACAATCCAGTCTCTTATCTGCTCCTCCTGCAAAGTCCTGGCAAAGTCCCCAGGCAGCCCGTCTGCGGCGAGGCGTCCGCGGTGCCGTCCTGAGCTACTCTTCCCACGCAGCGAGCTTAGGGTGGTCGGCCGGTCCATAGCTCTCTGCCTTCCACATTCCTCAGTCAGTGTTGATAAAAGCGATACCGGATGGCTTGGGAGCGCCGTTTACAGCAGGCTGCCCGGCCAAGACACGATGGTCAGGGTGATTCTGCCCCGGAGCTCCTTCAGGAGACGAACCAGTCCCGTGTGCGTCATCCCCCACGTGCTTTTTCCGTTCACCTCCAGCAGGATGTCCCCGCATCTTCATAAAAAATAAAGAGAGAAATCACAAACCTTTGTTTAATTTACTGTGTCATATTCAGCGTCACCTAAGAAGTATTAATAAAGCCGTAGTATGTAAGTTTTCTAAAAGAAATATGTTTTTATTCTTAAAGCTGTTAGTATGTCGTTACAGAGTAATCTGTGATGGAAATTTGAGCTTCTCTGCCTTCTCTCAGTGCAAACTAGAACCAACCAATCAGAGCCAGGAGGCAGGTCTGAGGATTGTCAATCATGCTTGTGTATATGATAGTATGGTATGAAAAAGATAATCTGTGAAAAAAAAACAAATCAAGATTTTGCTAATGAAAGTTGAATACTGCAGCTCAAAACGACAGATGTCTGTAAGGTAACACTTGCTGAATACCTTATCCTGCCATCGTTGTAGGCGGGGGTCCCCTCGACAATGGAGCGGATAAAAAACGACTGATTGCAGTTGACCTCCTCCTGGCCTCCCACAATGCTGAAGCCCAGGCTGCCCGATGTGCTCCGCCGCAGAACGATGTCTTTGCAGCAGTAGAGATGTCTGCGTGGGCCAAGAAGGAGATTAAGCAGATTCACCTTTAAACAAACTGTTTACAGGTGAATAAACAGTTTGGTTTAATCTTCATAATCTTCCTGGATATGAAGATTAATAAAGCCAAGACCGTCACCAAAATGTTTCCATCGTTTGCCACATTGGAACTACAAACTCTAGGGCACACGCATCAAACTCGAGGCCTGGGGGCATAATCCGGCCCGACGTAGATTTTTATGTGGCCCTCCAAACTTCAGCCACAAAAATGCGTCAATCAGGTCCTCCAGTTGTGAAAACACAAGCAAAATCAACGGTTCCCCACATTTTTGTTTTGCTCTGATGCACCACTTGATCACAGGTTTTCCACAAAAAATTGCTGCAAACGTCGGATATAAGTGACCGCTAACCTCCGACTGTACGTGGCAGCACCACTTACTTCTACAACATGACCATTCGGCCTCACTTGATGTCAGAATCCTTTGCAAGTGTTTCAAAGTCACAAAACTATCACAACATCCTGGATGGACTGATCAACATGGAAAGACATTGATCAGTCTGTCTTTCCATGTTGATCGGTGGAAAGATGCGATATTAATTATTTGCAATAATCATTGCAAAGAACATTATTTGACTTTTAAGATGAACCGATTGAATGTAGAGATGGCTATTTTTTAATATGTAACCATTTTTTATGGAATATGATACATTCTGCCACAACCAGCCCTTCAGAACATTCTTGATCTAGATGTGGCCCAAAATGAAAATTAGTTTGATACCCTGTTTCTAAGGTATTTTTGTTATTATTATTGTTTTAATTTGTAATATGGAAAACCGACATTAAAAAGGTGAAGAAAGAAACATTCATTGCTTTCAGCTGCACCACTGAATCCCCTCTTTTATTCCACATAAGCAGGAAAAGTGGCAATTTGTGTCAGTGCAAGACTGTCTCCATGACGACAACAAAACCTTGCATGTATTATTAAAAACCCTTCAGTTCTCAGAGGTTTTAGTGATTTATAAGTATCGAATATTTTCTTTAAAAAAAACGCCTTAAAAGTACAATGAGCGTCTCCTTCCTCCTGTTTCTGTCGAGACGTCAGCGTGTGCCCGCTGGGGAAGGTCAAAAGGACATGTTGGAGCTGCGGAAACCAGAAAAAGTTAAAAATGTACAGGCGAAGACAGAGATCACAGGAGGGCCGCTCACCTGGGGACCTGCAGCCAGGAGACCCAGAGCGGGGAGTAATCGTCGTTGGGCAGCGGGCTCTTGGTGCTGTCTGTGGGCGACGGCGTCAGACACGGCGGCAGCGTGAACTCCGGCGGGTTGTCGTCGTCGGGCGGACGCATCTCCAGGACCTTCAGCACGACGGGAGAGGAAGTGTTCTTGAGGTTGGCCACCGCCTCGCCTCGCGTCACCCCCGTCAGATCCATGCCGTTCACATTGAGCAGAATGTCACCTGTGGGTCGGGGGGGAGACATCAGAGTCGAGGGCTTATCTTCTTTCTGCTTAATATTCATCATTCTTGCATCCGGACCACAAAGACACTGAAACCAAAGGGCAGCTGTGGGCTTTTAAAAAGCCTGCTAATGATGAAAGTGATGCAAAGATGGACAGTGCAGACCGGCTTGCTAGGAAGCAACACAAAGGACACATTTGCCCTGCGAGAAAATGCAAATGAATGCACAGTTACGTTGCACAAACATCTTTCAGAAGCACACAGAGACAGCTGCTGCTCTGTCCCAAATGAATCCGGTAATGTGCACCTTGAGTCCCACACAAAGCAACAGACTTGATCATTTTATGAAGTCCTCATATTGCTGTTTGTGCAACATTTGTCCCGCTCTTCCCGTAAACGAAGCTTCAAAACTGCCGCGTTTCCATGAAGAACATTTATTTTTGAAATGACAAACCGCGCAGTAATATGGTCAACAGCATCACAACTACTGGAAACACAATTGGAGATGTGATCTTATCCTGGGGACCAACAACTGTGCAGTGGAAAAGAGAAAAAATAATGTTTAGGTTTGTTTTTGAGGAATCAGATTAAAAGGGTGTAAGATTTTTATTTGCTAAAGTTTTTCTCCTTAGTTTTCCTTCTCCTCACGATTGTGCGCTAATTTTTCCTTGTCTAGTTTGTAGTTGCAATATAAAAAAAAAGAAAAAGAAAATTAATCATGACAAAAACTTTAAAACAAAAAAGACAGTTTTGCTAAATCCCCCCTATGTTGTGGTAAGTTTTCAACTCTGCTGCGCTAACGTTTTTTTTTTTTTTTTAAAGAATCGACACGAGCAGCCGAGGTTTCTGCTCCATACGAAGTCATCATCGATCTTTTTGTTCGTGCTCTTCAGTACAGAGAGGCTCATCCGCGACAGGCGGCCCGCAAAGATATTTCGCTCATCTGACGAAGCACGACAAATAAGAGCAATTGCCAGTGATGCCACGCAATTAAATGCCTGTGAGATTTCAAGCACAGATTGGCAGGCGGCCATGTTACCTTTGCGGATGGATCCCTCCTGTCCCACCACGCCGTCGCGGTCCACGTTTGTGACGTAGATGGGGAGGTCCCATCCTCGGCTGGACATGCCGCCCGCCACCGTCATGCCCAGGGAGTCGTATGGCTCCTTGGTTAGTGTGACCGTCTTCTCGTAACACGCGGGCTTCTGACAGGAGTCCTGCACAAAACACAGAGAGGCCAAAATGAGGCCAGGTTGTTGTTTGTTAGAGATTATTCACGTCAAAATCTGGTAAGTCCTGCTGGTAAGTCCTGCTCCACTGCCACCTTCTTCAAATCAGACGGAAGTGGTGTGAAACGTTTGCGTTTCATTTGTGCCGCTATCATTTTAAAGATATTGAGAAATGTTTCCAGAGGTCATGAAAGGTCAAACCACCACCACCTTCTTCAAATCAGACAAAATCAGCTCAACGACGTTTGTGCAGCAAAGGTTTTTGTTTGTGCCGCATTGGCATTGAAGATATTAAGGAAATTTTAATTTTGTAAAAGTGAGAGGGGGGCTGGCTGACCTTTGACCTCTAAACTTTCATCAATATCTTCAAAGCCAAAGTAGCACAAACATAGTTGAGTTGATCGACACCAATGCAAAATTGCATATGGGTGGATTAAGCATTTCTTCAGACTGTAGGAAGCCGGCATCCTGTCACTGTGACGTCTCTTCTCCTTCAGCACACATTCTTCTTTTTGTGATGGAGACAATAAAGCGAAAGCACACGAGGAGCTAACTAGCACCAAGGGCACCTTATTCAAACTGCATGTTCTAATTAAAACTGCATGTTCAGGATGGGTGAC